CCAAAAACCGTCAACGCAAATTGAAATCTATGTGAAACCTTTATACCAATTGAATATAGCCCCGTGCCCTGATGATCGCAACGAGCTTCCCCTGGACCACAAGTTCCACAACAATTAACATAGGCGCAGACCAAAGGGGAGCCCAGTAATTGGGGGAGATTTCAAATCTATACATGAAGACCGTCAAACCAAGTCAAACCCTAACCGATGCCGACCGAGAATTAAATATAACCGCATGAGATAGGCTAAAATCAAGCACCACAAGAGAGGAAGAAAACACCAAGCAGGCGAGGGAAAAAAAAGGAGAGAAAACAACCAAGAATACATCCCACACCCTCTCTTCTTCATCCCGAATCCCACGGAAACAACGCATCATTCTTCCACCCGTCACCACTCCCCCAGATCAGCATCAACTTACACACGACATAATTTTCATGTGAGAGGGCGGGAAGAGATCGAATAGCCCTCACCGTAGTAGCTGATCTATCAACCAATCTTGGTTGGACGGCCGTTGTGTCGATCATTGTGAGCAAAACAGTCATGGCCGGAAATTGAATTACAGATGTCATCGTCAAAACCTCTGTTGTCGCCAGTGGAAAAATTGTTGATGTTGTTGGTGCAGAGTATGATGTCTTTGTCATACCCGTTGTTAATGCTGTTGAAGTTATCTTTGTTGTTGATGTCTTCAGGTCAACCGTTACTGGCAGTGATGACATGTTTGTTGTCGCCACCAAGGCGCCTTCAACACGTTTTCCAGCAAATCGTGACATTATCTTAGCACACATTTTGTCCCCATCCTCGTAGAGCTCATAGCACTGGTGTATGAGATCATCCACCATCTGCCAGTCATCAAGGAGATGCGCCTGTAATTCGTCAGGACCCTCCTCTACCTCCCAAAGCACGCTGAGCATTTGTTGTGTCATACCCTCCAACCATGAGGCCACTGAGATTTCCCTCCAATCAATCTCTGACCAGTTGCAAGTTGTAGAAGCGAGAAGATGTACCATCTCCTGCAACCGGTGGCGGTCATCCTGCAAAACCAAAAGTCAATAATCCGCAGTTTATCGTAGCTCCCCGTTTGAAGCCATCTCCATCTCCTTTCGCCTTGTTGCGTATTGCCGCAAGAGCGCCCTCGCACTGCTGGTCCGGAGGTTAGTTCACCTCGTTTTCGCTTCCTCCCTCACAACACACCAGCTATGGAATTGTTTGTATCATCCTCACCCGCCCCACCTTGCTCGGCCGTCACGAAGGCTATGGCGTCGCCAACCTGCTTAGTCAGCCCTGGGTAACACCGAGGGCATTGGGTCACGACACCGCCGGCCCGCCGGCCGGTACGCTCCCCACTTGCTCGCCGCCGTAATCGAGGGTCAAAAATGAATAATCCAGGGTAGTGGGATCTGACCCTTAAACCACCAGCCAGTACTTCGTAGAGTCGTGCCCATGAACAAGCAAGACAATTTTAGGAAACGTACGGGCCACTACAGGAGCGCTCAGATTCATCCGACGAGAAACGTTTCTACTCCATTTTTTTCTGCGGCCGACAGGTGGGCAAAGTATTGGTGGTTTAAGATGGTGCTAGTGTGAGTGTGCCCCAAGGCTTCGTGCTAACAATATTTTCCTTTGGGATAGCCGTTGACAATGATGATACAAAGAACATTGATTAGTAGCATGGCCAGTCTGATCAGTGAAGATATCCCAATGTCGTTGCCCTTGTGAAAAGAAAAAAAAAGAAAGGAAAAAAAAAAGGACAAATATATCTTCACATGGAAAGTGGGGAGATGCGTTGTTGTCCACGACCGTCATCACCACGGGAAGGATTGAGAACATGCAATACCCACCGAAACGCAACCTGAAGAAGAAGAAGAAGAAGAAGAAGAAGAAAAGAGGAAGTAGAAGAAGAAGAAAAGAATGGTCGGTCATTACAGTTGTATGTGGTGGAAGTTTTGGACTCGATACAGCTAATAGAAGGTCTTGTAATTATCGTTGTACCTGGTGCAATTTTCGGACTACATAGGTACGGCGATAATTACAGCTGTATGTGGTGAAATTTTTGGACTCGATACAGCTAATAGGTGGTCTTCAAGTTGTAATTATCGTTGTACTTGGTGCAATTTTCAGACTACATAGATACGACGATAATGACCCGGTGTTCTATTTGGGCCAAGATGGGTAGTTGCAGATCATGCATGTATCACGCCAACACCCAATTCTTTTTTTTTTTTTTTTTTATAAAGAAACGGGCCCAGTGCCCAAGGCTCCAATTATGAATTTGATTAAACACACGCCTCTTCCCATTAAGGCTGGAAGAGCCTCAGCCACTTCTCCCCTGGAGACAGCTTCCCTGTATAACACCCATGTAGTATAGTCTCGGGGCATTGATTGCTTCCCAGTGAGGAAGGATTAACCCCGCTTTGTGCTAAAATCAAAGTCTTCCCTACTCGCCTCCTCAATTATCCACTACAGTCTTCTGCACAGTGAGGAGTAGGGGAGATACAAGTAAGGCAAAGAGATTAATAACAGGGCAAGCCAGTTTAGTAGTTTAATCGTTTGTCGATAATTGCCATGAGTTTTCCCCCATGATCCTTTTTTTTTTTTTTTTTTTTTTTTTTTTTTTTTCCCCCCATGATCCTAGTTAGCCACTTAACCTGACAAGTGAGGAAGGCTCTGTTGCAGAAAATTCAAACGAAATATCGATGTGGCAGAAGAGAAAACGATTGCATACGCGAAAAAATGATGTGCTGGAGCCAGCGACATGAGGGCCTGGAATTGTGTGGCTGGATCCACGATTCCCAGTCCTCCTCTGGTTTTAGGCTGAATCACTGAGTCTCATGCTTCCCCCTGGCCCCCCCCAGCCCTGGCACAAATCGCGGTCCTGGCCCCAGAAGCCCCGCCCGAGACGGACCCATTGGTTTGGTTGCAAGACAGGCACTGGAGGCTCCCAAGGAAATACAGGAACGGGGACCCTGCAGACAAGCACTGGCTGCGCCTCATACGCACATGGAGGAAGCTCCCGCCGCCAGACCGTCTGACTCCGGATAGATGGGAAGGAATCTTCAGACAACCGCTGTTCAGAAATCATTTGATCACGGATCCCTTGGGCCGCGTAAGGTGCAGCTCAGATGCCCCCTGGAAGGGCTGGGTGAAACACGGCGTTAGCAGGGTAGGGGACCTTTGAGACGGAGAGGCAAGGGGCTGGAAGAGTACAGAAAGGATGCGGTCTTGGTTGCGATATTGCCATTTCATTGAATCTGCGCTTAATGAACTTATTGAGAGTTTTTCTCTCCAGTGGTACAGTACCCTTCGAAAAGGCCCTCGCTTGAAAGAAGGAGACTGGGTAGGGCTACCCGGCCACGATAAGGAAATAGGGCGGGTCCATATTACCAATCAAACACAAGCCCTGATCGAGGTCTTCTCCGTCCAAAGGGATGGTGAGCTACGAGGAAGCCGGCAGCCTTTCGTCCGGAAAGACAGCACGAGCATATATCGTATCAGAGTTCTAGATGATGGTAGATGCTGGAGAGACCGACCATTGACCCCGATTGAGGAACTTCCCTTCTATCCTGACGAGTGGGACTGGTCACATGAAGGTCGGATTAGGCAGGGGACAGCAAAACAACTAATGTTGCATACTTTGAAAGCCAAATCAGTCTACTGAATGCTCCGTCCTAAGCAAAGACTGTGGGAACTAGTAGAGGACAGATGGTATCGGCATCTCAACGTGGACCGCAGCCTGCTCAAACCCATCCGATGGTCCATGCACTACGGGGACAGACCCGCAAAGACGGTTGCCCTTCAGTGGCAAATAGCACATCGATGCCTCGCAACTAATGATTGGCTGATAAAGTGTAGCGGACCCACCAGGTGTGGTGCTCCGCTAGTGGTAGAGATGGAGATGGAGGAAGAAGGGGGGAGTGAGATGGCACAACGCAGCTCCCCACGCAAGACTCCAACGCACGTACTCCAAAATGTGCAAGTGAACAATGAGCTCGAAAACAGACAAAGGCTGGGGTATACCCCAGCGGACTGACGGGACTGGACTGGACTGGCTGGTACCGACAGAGGTACCGGCCTGGACTGGACTGCCCCGAATAAAACACAGGCCTGTGAGAACAGGTCAAGGGGCTGGTCTCACAGGCCCAATGGAGGTCCGCTACACGATCCTCGACCTGTGATGGATCGCCTAGATACAAGCACGTTTCCGCCAAAAAGCGGAACTCTACCAAAGAAAAGAAACCTTAGTAGTCTAGGATGCGGAGCAAGCTCCATGTTGAGTCCATGCAATGCAACCTAGGATATAAAATGTCACAAAACAACAATGTCACAGCAAACAGCCTAAGTAAAAGCAAAAACAACTAACTAGCATACATGTCCTAGGAAAGCAAAAGCAACTAACTAGCATACATGTCCTAGGAAAGCACAAAGTAGTGACAACTAGATCCTAGAATGTTGGAGGCAGTAGCCTCAGTCTGGGAACAACTTACTAGTGTATAAGTCCTAAGAACAGCAAAAGCAGAACAACTAAATCCTAGAAATGTCAGAGGCAGTAGCCTCAGTCTGAGAGCAACAAAGCAACAACAAGTCAATCACATATCACATGAGAAGTGTGTCGCAAACCAAAGGGTGGGATGGTCTCTGAGGGTGGCGAATGCAGCCTAGGGGTCGAAAACTCCTAAGGGCATCCACACATAGATAACAGGGAGACACATGTCATCAGGCTCAAKGAGGGTAGGGAACTGAGAGCGAACAGAACCAATGACCCTAACAGATAGACCATCAGGGCGGGTAATGCTCAACTAAGGGGTGACCGCTATGGAGGGTCGACCATGGGAATAAGGGAGTCTGGTATACTGGGCGCACCTAGATGAAGCATGCGGAGCTGACTAACTAGGGCGTGAGGGTCGGCGAAGGGTAGAAAGATGATGGGTAAGGGAATATGCAAATGACTCCTAAAGTGAGGGAAGTCGGAGCTAGATCCTATGATGAGAAGCCAAGGCAACGCTACGGTCCCGATGCCTATGCGTATACCAAGGGAGAGCCCAACTCAGAGGAACCCGGCTAAAGGGAGACCATCATGCGACACAAGCAGGGTACTGTACAGGGTAGAGTGGTAAGAGAGTGGCGACGTCTGAAGTAGGCAGAGTTGACCGTGATGAAGTCCATGAAGCTGCCGATGACGTCCACGATGAGAAGTCTGGAATGCCGTCGCGGAAGAGCCGCATCGTCGACGAGCTGAAGTAGCAAAACTGGTGTGGATGGAGTACTGAGAAGTCAAAGACGTGGGAAGGTAGGTCAGAGTCAATCGTTGTATCGAGGAGGACGACGACAAGTGCGCTGTGGACGCTCAGAAGCATCCGACTGCTGCTGAAGGTCAGCCTCGGATGGAGCAGGCTCGACTTCAGCAGTCTCCTCAGCCGGGGGAGAAGGAGGAGGGTCAGTGGGTTGAGGAGGAGCAGTGAACCCAGCACGACGAGCACGGTCATAGGCACGCACCAACATGCGAGCGTGCTGCAAGTGCTTGAGGGGCTCCCAGGTAGCCTCCTCATCAAGGTAACCCTTCCAACGTACGAGATACTCGGCGTGGGGAGGGTTGTTGTCGGTGACTCGGCGACCAATGATGTCTGAAACGAGGAACTCCTCGTGGCCGTCCACCATGATGGGCGGAGGGCGCTCGTATGGTCGTCCAGCGAAACGCTCATACGGTATGCGGTAAGAACGTAGTAACGAGACGTGGTAGACATCGTACACACATGTCTGGCGTAGGTAGTCGGGCAGCTTCACACGAAAGCTGACCGGGCTAGATGCCGTATCAGAACCGACGGCCTGGAGGATGCGGCATGGGCCAAAGAAGCGACGCCGAAACTTGCGAAGCGTGTCCGCTTCGAGTTGTAAGTGGCGGGCGTCGATAAGCACATCATCACCGACCTTGAATGGGTGATCCATCCTCGATCGGTTCGCACGTGCTGCCATGCGAGTCTGGGAAGCGGCTATGTGCTCATGTGCGGT